GGGCACCTTTAGTCGCGGTTGGCCTGGCCAACCGCGACTAAAGCCCGCGAGCGCCCTGGGCCCAGGCATTTGGTCGCGGTTCATCTGCCCAACCGCGACTAAAGACTTCATTAGTCGCGGTTCCTACAGTTTCGCGACTAATGGGGCTGGACGGAAGCCTCTTTTTCTATCAGTGTGCCCGGGCTTGTCACCTTGTTTGTCCGACCAGGAGAAGTTTAAAGCGTAAATGCTTCATACATGTAGCTTTACTCATGTACTAGTACAAATGCCTGTGCGTTGCTATGAGAAAAAAAACACCTCACTTTAAAAAAGAATGTTTCAAGTCCTCACACAGGTACACGCCCACCATTTGAACATTGCAGAGAAGCACTAATAGCATAAACCGTGAATATGAAATATTAATACAGCTTAATTTCCCAGTTCAAATTTAATAGTGCCAAAAATAGTTACGAAGGCATGCATTGTTTTGTACATAGATTGATAGCTATAGAGTATCTACTGCTAGTGTGGATTTTCTAGCTTGAAATTGTACCCTTCCTGCATAGAATAAGAGACTTTTGCTATGCCAAATCTCATTTCATGACATTTATAACAAAATTTCAATTTTTAAAACACTATCCTGCTGCAACAATTTTGAATTAAATTGATGAAATTTAATAGGCTAATAATTCTTTTAGGTGAACCCATATTCTTTTTTTCTTAGGAATATTCAAAATCTCATTGTTAGTTTATTTAATTTTTCTAAAATGAAGTCTTATTTTTTACATGATCTTCCTTCGTTATTGTACCCAAAATATGACTATGTTTGTGGGAAAAGTAAAACAAAAAAAGAAATGTGTAGTTAATTTCTTTTTTTTGCGGATGCAGTTAATTTTTTTATAAATATGAGCGTACATGTTTTGATTGTTTGCACCTAATTTTATTTTTTGCAAAGATGTTTTGGTTGTTTGCACCTAATTTTATTTTTTGGTAAGAGAAAAAACCCTCAAATGTGTAGTTAATTTTGCCATACGCATGAGGCAATTTTGTGTCCGTGAGTTTTATACAGTTTTTTTTGTGTGTGTTTGCCTCGGCTTCCATCGTCATCAGCATATGGTCATGTTCCTGCGCACAATCGTAGTTGTTGGCAATTGCTGATGCAGATGGTGGTATGTGTGCATGGCGTGGTAGTCTCGCCACCGGCCTGACAAATTGGTCATGGGGTATTCATATTCCTATCCTCTTGAAGCCAGTGCTCATTTTTTTGAGAAATCTAAATCCAACTCCTAGTTCTAACTCATTTGAATTAAATTCTAATGAGTTTGAATATAAATTCTTCCATCACGAACAAAGCTTATGTACCTGGATTAAGCACATTTAAACTGATCCAAGAGAGTTTTCATCACTTCAAAACTCCCTGTTTATTTCTAAAATGGAAAAGAAGAAGAAAAGTTAACACGGAGAGGAGCAGAGCAGCACATCGAAATGCGGCCCACTTGCCTAGCCGGCCTAGTAAAAAAGGCCATCTCCTTTTCCCCAAAACCCTAGCGATCTCATATGCCCGACCCCAAAGAGATTTCGACCCAAATCCCTTCACATGCCCGGCCCCAAATTCCCCCTCCCCCTCTCTCTCTCTCTCTCTCTCTCTCTCTCTCTTCAAGATGTCCCACCGCCCTGTTCCCCGTGCCTCTCCTTCCTTTTCACTCCGGCCTCCAAAGAGATTTCATTGATGGCGCGCGTTGCTGCGCCCGTCTATTTTGGCTCTTAGTTGTTAGGTTAGGAATTTAATGTGGTTTGTATATATTTGCTTGGATTGTTTTGAAATATTATGATTTCCTATAATTTGTATTTTTTTCTTTATTTTAAAACATAACGGTATGTAAATGAAGAGAGGAATAGGATTGTTCCTATAGCTCTTAGTACGTAGACATTACAACTTCCATGTGAACATAAGCTTACGCTTAAATGTTGGCAGTGCCACAAGTCAATCTATCCATGGTAAAAAAAATATGGCTATGCACAGTTTGGTTCAAGCCTACAAGCTTGTTTGCAGTTGCACAAGATGGTGGAGACAATGCTACTCACACTGTCCACCTAAATGAGACCCAGTGCCACCTCCATGAGCTGGGATGAAGATTCTACCAACAATCAATTTGCGCTTATCTGATTCAAACAAGTGAAACCAAAAAGGAATCGTTCCAGAAAGATGCAGCTTGGGAAATCCACATGCAGAAAATAAAACAGGGAGAGGTGTTGCAGAGGAGCGTGATGGCAGGTAAACCTAGAGAACGAGAACCTGAATTGTTTGTGAGTACAAAGATCAATATAAAAATAAATACCAAAATTGGATGATAAATCGGGGGAACAGGGCATGTAGGAACGCTGCAGCAGTGTTGTTTGCAGAACTAGGCTGGTCATAGTGGGGAGTAACTTAGAATAGTAACATGCATATGTTACTACTTTATGTTACTACCCTTATAGTGAAAAGTGTCATATGTGGAGTAACATACACATGATCATTTATTATTTTGTAGACTCATTTTGCATTGGAAAGCGCTATGTGATGGTAACATATTAGGTTACTCTATTTGGCTCTCTCCTCATTAACTACTTGCCACATCAACATTTTTGCTTATGTGGCATCTATGTTACTACCTATGTTACTCCCACTATGACCAGCCTGAGGGGAGCGGGGAAGGAGCAGAGGCACTATGAATTAAAGCCCAAACATGAATCGACATTCATATAACTGACCAGTAATAATCTCCAGTTTAGCCGGTTCATCGATTACCATTAATCGATCCTGATTAATGCCTTAATGAAGGGTGAGTGAAGATCAATCGACAGGTTGTTCGCTACCCGGACAGACCGTTGTCCTGTGGCGTCACCGGTCAGGACGCCATCCACTCGCCCGACGAGGAGCCCCGTGGCGAGGCATCGTCGGTCGCATCTGTCCGACCCCAATGCAGTCGCCCGCCCATAAGGCGCCGCCAAGCGAGGAGCGAATCTGCCAGGGTCGTGAGCGTTGAGGTGTTCTAGGGCTCTCTAATTTTGCGTTTGGACGGAATCCTAGTGTAGGCCCAGTAAGCCCAATTAAATCTCAGATGCCCTAAAAGGCCACCGGAATAGCGGCCCGAGAAGGTCAACGCTCTTGGTGAAGCCTGTATGCGCGATTTAGGGCGATTAAGACCAAATCTAACGGCAAAGAAAGCCAAAAGGTGATGATCCAACGGCTAAAAATGCTAATAGCCTGAGAGGACACGAAAAGTGCTCAGTTATAATGTATTTAAATTAATTAAAGATAAAGATAAAAAATAAAGATGAGGGCCCTCGGACTTAGGAGGCCCTGTGCCACCACACCTATTGCACATGGAAACCGGATCCTCTAACATACAGAAAGAAAATTAGATTAGTTACAATACCCTAACTTGCCTTCTTTCAATGCATATCTCTGAGCCTAAAATAACTTAAATTATTTTGCGAATTACAATTTTACTGTGTACATTTATAGTAACTACATACGAACAAATTGATGGTGAAATAAAATTAATTTTAGATTACTTATATCTACAGTGATTACCAATAGTAAACAACATGCTAACTGTTTCTAACTTTTCTTCATTTTACACTAGGCTAGTACTGTAGCACCCGTCTTTTCTTTTCTAAGTTAGAGGATCCGGTTCCTTGCACACGCTGAGGACTAGGGCCCTGACCAGATCCCGCGCTGCAGGCAGCCCCCTCGCGCCTCCGGCCATGGCGCCGCCGTCCTCCGAAGAGCCTGCCGCCGCCGCCGCCGCCGAGCCCGCTGGAGCCGGCGCCATCTCCAAGGTCCTCGTCGTCATAGGTACGTGCGGATGGATCCCCTCCTCCCTTCCCACCCTCCGATGATGCCGCTGCCGCTTTGCTTGCTTGCTTGCTGAGCTGTTGTTATTGTGGGTTCGGTTTGTTTGCAGCGATGCAGACGGAGGCGCTCCCGCTCGTCACCCGGTTCCAGCTCGTCGAGGCGGCCGCCGACGAATCCATGTCAGACAGTGCTCCTCTTCCCCTTTTCCCTTCCCATCCCCCTTTTGATTCAGAAATTCAGAACTAGATACAGGTGAGCAGCTACTGGCCGATATGGCATGCTAGGTAGCTGCTTGGCCATGTTGTTATGTGGTAATACGCGTAGCTCACTAGCTCGGTGCGCAGCTGCGCAATACAGTGGAGATTGGATGCAGGTGCTTGCATAGATAGATTTCCTGTGTTGTTGCTGGAAGGTTTGCATCTGCGCGGAGGTTCAGTGCAGCAGATGCGTCACCGGAATGGATGGCAAGGTGGGAAAATTTAGCAGCAGTCTGTTTCCGTTGCCGCAGATTTGTTGGATGGCTAGTTACTGCATAACAGAATCCAAGATGCTCTATACATGAATTAGGCTGGAACCAGTTGGTGCTCAGCTTCTTTGGCAATGACATGTTGGATACTCTCAAGCTAACGCCTTTGTTTGTCGGTGCGCACCTAACAGCTTTCCGAAAGGTGCCCCTTGGACTCGGTACCATGGTGACTACAAAGGCCTCCACATCGATCTCGTGTGGCCTGGAAAAGATCCTCTGCTTGGTAAGTTCTTACCACGATGCCGAGGACATACTCTCTGTGGATCAGTCTAGTTCAGTTTTTCTGATCAACTTCTCTGAACAAGTGTGGTTTGTTTGATATAATTGTCCATAAATCAACTCCGTTCCTTACCAAGAGCTCATCTCTTTCAGGAGTTGACAGTGTCGGTACAGTATCCGCAGCTCTGGTGACTTATGCTTGTATACAGTTGTTGAAGCCAGACCTTATCATCAACGCTGGTACTGCTGGTGGTTTTAAGGTAGTGTTTTCATTGTTCAAATGTTTATGCCACCGTTTGTGCATTACAAACAATTTTACTCATGTTCTGTCTTGCTGCGTTTTAGGCCAGAGGAGCAGGTATTGGGGATGTCTTCTTAGCTTCAGATGTTGCATTCCATGACAGGAGAATACCCATTCCTGTGAGTCCTGTCTTAAGTTTCTTGTCTATCCACAGTGGAATTGCATCCATTTTCTTGTAGCAGAACTGCATCGATAAGCTTCAGTGTTTGACATTAGGAAGTCATACATGTGCAGAATTGTGCGTAGCTAATTTTACCAAATGAATTCAACAATCCAATCCATATTGCTCCAGCTAGTAAGAGTTCTCTGCCCTGGCTGTATCATCACGGCTAAACATGTAGAACTAAATGCATGTTACTCGCTTGCGCTTGTGGTTTGATATCTCTTTATGGCTTAGTATGCTATTTCTTCGGTAGAAATTACCTTTCTTATGTCATTCTTTCATTTTCTGTTCAAACTTTATTGATGTTGACATGGTCTTTCTTGTGTAGGTTTTTGACAGTTATGGAGTTGGAGCGCGAAAAACATTTGCAACCCCAAATATAGTGAAGGAACTCAATTTGAAGGTAAGTTAGGGCATCTTCAATGGAAAGTGCTTGTATAGGCGCTTAGAGAACAAAGTAAATCTCGTAGAATTTGAGAAGCAACTTAGCGCCTCTTGTTACAATGGCAGCCGCTAATTTTGGACGCTAATAAGTCGTCCGCTGCACTCGCCGCGTTATCTTGTGCGGCAAAAAAATCCCAAGCGCCAGGTTCCCCTTTTTGCGCCGATGCCGTACCTGGCGCCAGGATTGGAATGCCCAACTGTCGATCGATCGGGAAACAAATCCGGGTGCCCTGGGTTTGCGCCCAGCGTTGGAGATGCCCTTATAGGGCTTTGCTGGATGCTAGTGTTGCCACTTGTCAATCTGCTGGATTACTTTTTTGGCCATACTTGACGGCATGAATATGCCTTGCTGTTTATTTCAAAACAGTGTTGTTTCTGCAATGAATTTTTTGTTTTCATTCAGTAATGCATATATAGGCTCAGGAGCTAGCAACCTCTCTAAAGTTGCTCTGCTTCCTCTGTTTCAGGTTGGGAAACTGTCAACTGGTGATTCTCTGGACATGTCCCCCCATGATGAGACAGCAATACTGAGCAATGAAGCTACGGTCAAGGATATGGAGGTACATGCTTTTGGTTGGGAGTTCAGCTTATGAATTACAAACATGAGCAAATAACACGGAAATGGAGTTTGTTCACCCTACTGCTCCAGGACAACTTTAAGAAATCTAAAATTTTGAGAGGGTACTTATTCTTCCGTGGGCACCTATATTTTTATTAGAGCCTTTGAGTAGGACGCAGCTATTCTGCACCCGGGCTCATCTACACCCGGATGTGAACAGTAAATTAAAAAAAAACTGAAATTTTGAGGCAACGAAGATGTTCATTTGCACAAGGTTCGTGCAAAAAATCGTGGTGCTTGACATCTGAGGACCTCGTGCCAAAAAAAAATTATTGGGGTGTGAGAACACTATTCGTAGCTGATTTTTTTTGCGAACTCCTCATATGTCCAAACAACATGAAAATTTGTAAGCACCTTGCGCACATGAGCATCTTCGATGCCAAAAAGTTTCAGTTTTTTTTACTATTTGTTTTGAATTTACTGTTCACCGGGTTTAGATGAGCCCGGGCACCATTTTGAATTAACGCTTTGAGTAGTTCTTTACTGATAGTTCTTGCTGGTTGATGCTATAGTTGAAGTTAAATAGATCAGCACTAATATAACCATTTTTGTTATGTTATGGCTGGCAACTCAGTTTTGTTACTTTTCTGCATCCATCTCTCGTACCTGCTAACAAACTGTAATTTGTAGATCTCATACTTGTTTTATTCCCTCTCGTTTGCCATTCCAGGGGGCAGCGGTGGCATATGTTGCTGACTTGTTCTCGACACCCGCTATCTTTGTCAAAGCTGTGACTGACATTGTTGATGGGGAGAAGCCAACAGCCGAGGAGTTTCTGCAAAACCTGATCTCAGTGACGATGGCGCTTGACCAGGCAGTCATGCAAGTGGTAGACTTCATCAGTGGCAAATGTATCTCTGATCTCTGAACGCCCAATGCTCCGCTATGTGGGTTCCACAAATCGAGGGAGCCTGAATATATATATTTGTTGGATGTATAGTGTTTCCTGGGTGGTTTCACACACGATTATACATTCTCATAACCCCTATGAAAGAAATTCTTGGCGATTACTTGGAGCTGTTGTATGGGATTTTGTAGAATTTTACAAACTGTGCAGCTTAGTGAAGCTCGGCTTAATAAAGTGGTGTATTGTTATACTGGAATAAATGATGGGCACTGGAACCTCCACGGATTCAGGACGATGGTTGATGGGTGCACCTTGGCAGCTCCATCACATGGTAGCTAGCTTTGCAAGTGCAGTGAGCAATGAATACTTCCCAATTGCAGTGAGTAGTAAAGGCACTCGTTTTGGGGAGCAGCTGTGCTATATGTATGCTGAATGAGTTAACTGCAATAATTCTACAGTACTGTTTGTTGTACCGGATATTCAATTCTGAGCACGGGCTCAGCTGATCTTGAAATCCTCCCCATCTGATCGCATGAAGATGTGTGCCCACGGTTGTATTTCTGCCTGTATACCTGATGTATCGCTGGTAAACAATCCAAGGGCGTTGTCTTATTAATTGCAACGACAGGCATTAAGTTAGAGGCAGAACAGCTTGCTGGGGCACGGCCCAGTTATTCTCCTATGCCAGACTGAGCCGTCCAAAGGGCACAGAAGAAATACGCTGCGCACAACTGGTTCTTCATCGCATTTACTCATCCAGCAGTTCAAATTTTGAATCCGACGGCGTACAACTCCACTACCCATGAACATCCACATGGTATGGTTAATATCAAGAGTGCCTCAAACGCAAAAGCTCGCAAGTACTTAGTACATGCGTAGCATAGCTTACAAACACTGACGGCCCAAGGGGAACCCAAGAAAATACTGATGAACGACAACAAAGTTTACTGAATGGTATAGTAAGTCTGACGTCCTGAACTGGAGGAACACAAGGGAGCATTGCTCACTGAAACACACTAGAAAATCTTCAGAGTACAAGTTTCAGAATTAGAAAAATTAACTATCACATCTGATTTTGAGCACCACCGATGGTGCTCTTGCATTCCCTGTCAGGGTAGGTTGTTCTCTTGTGGCCTTTGCGATGACAAATGCTGCAGCCTGCAGAATATCATACGGTGCTTTCTCCCGGCTATTCGTTGGCCTGTCGACACCTGTCTGCTCTTCCGGAGCAGCAGGCCCTTGAAGTGCATTCACACTGATAGATAGATGTCTTCACGCTCTGCACTGCCATTTCCCAGAAATGCAACTTCTCCATCGACAGGTAGCCTCCTGCCAGGCAAAGTGGTCTGGCTGTCCTAAAAGCCCAACATCCATCTTCTCTTCAAATGGTGCACCACATACCAACAAGGCCTGCACAGAAACAACTAGTGTCAAGAATGAGCTTTCCCTGCTGTAAGAAAGATCAAAACTGTCAAGCATAATTCAACTAATGAAGTTGTGCACACAAATGTTAAGCAGGTTTATAAACCCATCAAGCAGCCGCAAACAATCTCCTGCATTGATTTGGTCCGCTCGGCATTCAATTTGTTCTTGACATATCTAATCCCAAAGCTAATCTCCCACGAATACAAGTTGTAGAAGTCATACAAATCATCAAGCGAGTAGAAACTCAGTCCTAGTTCAGGCCGCACATTTTTTGCAGGCTGATCTGCATACTTGCGACTTGTCTGCTCTAAGGCGCTCATCCTAGATGGACACGGCGTTTTGTCGGACGGTGCACTCCCAAGGTGTAACCTTAATTTACAAGCAAGAACATTCTGCTAAGAGGAAACATAACTCAAATCAGCAGCGCCTGACCAGAACTACCTATTTATCTCCATCGTACCTAGCACGAACGAGCATTTTCATTTTGTTTGTTTTGCAAATCGTACATAGCAATGGAGAAAAACATCACAACATTTGCCAAACAAACTGTAAACAGCTACCTGGGGTAGGTTCCAGGTCATACCTTTTGGTCCAGCCCGGCGCCTCGGGATTGACCCTGTCAGGGGCCTGCTACATCGTCGGAGAAGCCTGCCGTCGCCGGCGCTTGTTGCCCTCCGGAGCCACCAACATGCTGCCCGCACCCGGAGCCAATATTCGAGTCCGCCGGCATAGCAGGGGCAGCATTCAGCCGCGGGAGCACCGCAGAGGGACCGGATCTGGTTCTTCCTAGCTGTCCGCAAACTCTTCTCCCAGCGAAAACCTGCAACTTGCTGCCATGGTGGCCGGCGGAGTCAGCGTCATGGGGGTCTCACGCAAAATCGGGAAATCTCCACGCGGGGTAGGGTTCACTTACCCGTCATCGGCGTCCAACAAGAACTCAAGCTAGCGTCCTCCATCACCAGCCAGCCGGAGCAACCACAGCCTTCCGCGCAGCCTTGGGGATGGGGAGTAGCCGTCTGCGGCGGCGGCAGGTTTCGAGAAGCACCTTTTTTTTTTTTTTTGAGAAGCACCTAGGTCAGCCTGGTCAGGGTCGGGCAGACAGACGCCCTCACATTTGCGACCTGGCCGGGCCACCTCGACCGGACGCGCACGCTGTTCCAAAGCTCGGCCCAAAAAGTAAACGTCCTGGGCCACGGACCAGCTAGACCACCGCACGGACGCCCGTCCATCCATACGTTCTGGGCCCGCAGGATGGCACTGTTTGCTACCCTATTCTGCCCGTATTCCGAATTTTCACTGCTCCCATGCATGCGTGTCAGAGCGATTTGTGCAAATCTCGAGACATGAGCCAACGCTAGCGATTTCTGGAGCAGCTGGGCTCGAACACCGAATTTGGTGTACGCAGTTCTTTGTTACCCGCTACTCTCTCTGTTGCTAAATATATAACATTTTGATAGTTTAATTTGAACTGACAAAATGTCTTATATTTTGCAACGGAGGGAGTATTTTGCATCCTCTTCTTCTTTTACCTGATTAACAGACTTTTGTAGACCTCACACCGAGACAATAAATGTTTTTATTAGATCTTCTTTGTTCTATACTCGCTTTTGGAAACAAATATAAGACGTTTTAGATGACTACTATCACGTCCATGGATTCAGCAGAGGAAAAATCACTCTAGGAGTTATGGATGCATCTTCGCAGCTCCATCACATGCGAGCTACAAAATGCAGTGAGCATTTTGTTTTGAACCTTGAACAGTAGGAGAACCTCCTACTGAATGCAATGAGTACTTGCCAATGTTGTGTGCAGTGAAAAGTAACTCTATATGTCTATATGTCTATATGTGTGCTAAGTCGAGTGCGGCTAATCTGCATCCGGGCTCATCTGCACCCACGCTTAGAAAAAAATTCAAAAAAAATACTAGAAAAATTCAAAAAATTCCAAATTTTTTTGTGGTGGTAGATAATTTGATGCGTGAGGTGCGCCCCAAAATTCAATTCATTTGAGCATCTGAGCAGCTCTCGGCAAAAAAGACAAAATCAGGGTCTGTAAAAATGTATACTGTTCACGCACTGTTTTGATCCGATTTGTCTTTTTTGCCGAGAGCTGCTCAGATGTCCAAATGAGTTGAATTTTAGGGCGCACCTCACCCGTCAAATTATCTACCACCACAAAAAAGTTTGGAATTTTTTGAATTTTTCTAGTATTTTTTTTGAATTTTTTGCTGAGAGGGAGCAGATGAGCCCGGGCACCGTTTTGAATTTTCCTACTAAGTCAGTTCATAATTCTAAGTACAACTGGTTGGTTGGTTGGTTCTCTTGCTTTTTTTACCATGGTAACTTCGTAAAGTTGAGGAGGCTTAAAGTTGGCTGCACAGTCAGCTATTTTTTTTAAAATAATATATTTTTTTATTAATTTTTATAAATATTACACTGGATAAAAAAATTCAAAAATAATACACCGTCGGCCCGCTGTAGGCCGACTAGTCGGCCCACAGCAGACCGATTGGATTCCAGTCGGCCTACAGCTGGCCGACTGGCCCCTGTTGGCCCACTGCGGGCTGATTGCGTCCTGTCGGCCCACTGTTGGCCGACTGGAGCTAATTGGCCCGCTGTGGGCTGATTGCATCCTGTCGGCCCACTGTTGGCCGACTGGAGCTAATTGGCCCGCTGTGGGCTAATTGTTTTTGCAAAAAAAGTAGGCATAAAAAATATATGTTTAAAAAAATATTAATCATGTAATTAAAAATGTTAAACATGTATAAAAAAATGTTCCTGATGTATACAAAAAATGTACAACATATATGCAAAAAGGTTGACATAAAAAATATGTTTTAAAAAGTGTTAAGCATGTATTTAAAATTTGTTAAATGTGTGTATAAATTTTTTTCCTTATTTACACAAAAAAAAATATAGGATGTGTATGAAAAAAAGTTGACACCAAAAAATATATGTTTGAAAAATATGCTTCACAGCCTTATGGTATCCCAAGAGATCAAATGAAGAGCCCTTGGGATACCATAATCCAAGTGTTGGTGTGTGAGCTAGATATCGAAGAATATGCTTCACAGCCTTATGGTGTGATTCCTTTGGTGTAGCTTGAAATCGGGCACACATGCAAACACTAAGCATAATATCTGGCCTAGATGCACATAGGTACAATAAAGATCCAATCATGGAGCGGTATACCTTTTGATTGAAGTCTTGACCATTTTCATCAGTGCATAGATGGCCATTTGTGGGCATTGGAATTTTGACCCCTTTGCAATCTTGCATGCCGAATTTCCTCAATACTTCTTTGAGGTATTTCTCCTGCGATATGAATATACCATTGCGCTGTTGACGAATTTGAAGACCTAAGAAGAATTTCAATTCTCCCATCATAGACATTTGATATTCTTCACTCATCATATAGGCAAATTCATCACTATAACGTTGGTCAGTACAGCCAAAGATAATATCATTAACATATATTTGGCACACAAACAATTCACCATCATAGGATTTAGTGAAAAGAGTTGGATCGAGTGAACCGGGCTTGAAGCCATTCTTCACGAAGAATTCCTTCAACGTGTCATACCACGCCCGAGGGGC